ATATAAGGTTAATTGACAATCTAAAAACTAATGACTAAAACTAAATACAATATGATATACAAACTATTGACGAGGAAGCGGGCACAGCTTCACTAGAGGACGTGTGATCAGGCCGCTAGTGGTACGTACTTGTGCAACTCGCACTATACCGTCTTTTCCCGGGTGCAGCGCGACAATTCGGCCAAGTTGCCATTGCAACGGGGCCACCGAATCACCCTTGAATACGACCAGCGCACCTACCGACGGCAGGTTATTCGACGTGTCCCACTTATGCCAAACATCCAGGTGCAACCGTTGCACGAGCTGCCATCTACTTAGCCGATTTGACCGCATTGTCTCCAACGGTTCATCGGGATTATCCGCGGAGGCGGGACACAGGGGTCGCGAATTCAATACGGCTTCAAATTGCGCCAACACGGTACTAAATTCTTCGAAGGTTAGGGGTTGCTCGCCTACAACGCGCTTAAGATGGGATTTGAACGATTTGACGCCCGGCTCCCATAATCCTCCCATATGGGGGGCCGACGAGGGGTTAAAATGCCATTTGGGGGTGCAGTTACCGGCCACTGCTTGCAATAACAAATACTGTAATATCCGGAATCTGACATGTAAATGTTTCCGATGAGCGGCCTCTAGTTCGGTTAGACTGTGCGAGCGCGGCAATAACAAGGGGTGCTTAGTTTCATAGGGCAGTTCCGTTTGGTGCAATCTTCTAGTGACGCGAATCAAACCGTCGTCCAGGAACGGGGTCAATTCGTGGAATGGTTTTGAACACGTGCCATTCTTTTGCAATGAACGAATTTCATTGGCAAACACTTTACTTTGTTCCATTCGCACAGGTATTAACAACGCATGATGCAATTCCCTCCTGTGTACTTCAAGTTCCCTACCGGTACCAACTTCTAGGTCTACTTGTAGAGGCCACTCAGTACCTGTCAACCACATGGGATCCGCCCACCATAGCGGATGTGTGACACGCTCCTGTAAAAGTAACCCCCTCGAGGCACAGTCGGCTAGGTTATCAGGGCCGCTTCCATGATTCCATGCCGAAGGTTCGAATATACCTTGTATGGGCGCGATTTGATTTGTAACAAAAGTGGTCCAATGACCGGGCCGCGACTTAATTCCCGTTAGCGTTACTCTTGAGTCGGGCCACGCACACACCCTGTGTGTATTCAACACACCCTTGAAGGTTTCCCGGGCAAATGACAAAAGGTCGGCCGCAAAGAGGCGCGACTCAGGGACGAGAAAACGGCGCACTGCTGACTCGGAGGACCGACCTACTAAGGACGGCGTCTTGTCGGCGAAAGGTAATTGAATGTTGTATCTACCCTGGATGTCACGTGAGATCGCCGACGTGACTTTTTCCTCACACCAAGCGTCTTGCGGGGCCACCATATTGCGTTGTGGGACTTCCTCACGCTGCCTAACGCGTTTTAATGCCGCGTCTACAGAGTTGTCTATGGACGTACAAAAGGACCTAACCGCGGTTTGTTGTTTGTTACGCTTAACACCCCCAATCAGTACCCACCCGAAAACAGTATTTAACGCGGACGGTTTCTCGAGCCCACCTTTCCTGAAGCCGGATGTCACGATTTGTCCGTAAACATCAGCACCCAACAAGACATCCACTTGTTGTGGCTTACCGAATTCCGGGTCAGCCAATTTCAAATTGCGTAGGTGACGAAATTGTCTCAACTGATCTTGAGACACTGGCATTGTGGGGACGTCACCGCAAATTTGAGGCACAACTACCATCTCGGCCTTCAACGAGAAATTACGCACTAAATGCGACCTCACTTCGCATTTTAATACACCCGACGTACTGCTTGTCGACATTTGATTTAAGCCTTGAATAGGTACCACCGCGTTAGTTTGAGGAAGCCCTAAAACCTTTGCACAGCGCTCTGTGACAAAGGTGGCCTCGCTGGCAGTGTCCAAAAGCGCCCTAAATGCACGGTATTTACCTCGCGAATCCACCACAATTATTCGCGCGGTCGCCAGCAGAATGAAACTACGGGTCGGAATCGCGTTAGTCATAACTTTGACACCGTCGTCGGTAGATGGGTTTTCCACAACCCCTGACGCCTCTCCCGACTCTGCACTAGGTTTGGGGACAAAATGTAATAATGTGTGATGCCTACAATTACATACTCGACAGTTTACTTTAGATGGGCATTTGCTAACCGAATGTACCCTCGACAAACAATTATAACACAGATTTTTCTTACGCGCGAAAGTATGTCTATCCCGTGGTTCCATTTCTAAGAAAGCATCGCATTTCGTTAATGGGTGCTCATCTGAACAATTAAGACATTGTTCCTTGCTGATTGGTGATCGCGTGACAAACGATGACGTCACGGGACGCTTAGCAGGTACGGAAGATGCAGCTGTGGGTTTATGAAGGGCGGATGCGGAATTATGACCCATTGTCATAACGGAAGTTTCCAACGCGGTACAATGTTTAAGCAAAAATTCTTGGAGGTCATTGTAAGCAGGTACGGAATTTCCTACAATACTCAACTCAAATTTCTGTTTCCACGTGGTGTCCAGTTTTTGTAACATTAAATTTAACAAGGTGAAGTCCCACAAATCGACTTCATCGTACTGCTTCAACGCGGCCAAATTTTCCGAGAACACGTTTAACAAATTTCGCAACAAACTCGGCGAATCTCTATTCACTTTGGGTGCACTATAGATCGCTTGCCAATAATTTGTCAATAATACGCGCTTATTGTTATAACGCGCCACCAGCGCATCGAATGCGATAGCATAATTTGCCGCCGAAATCGGCAAATTTTTGATGACGGTAGAAGCCTCGCGAGACAATGACGTCGACAAATATTGAAATTTTTCAATTGCGCTAAGATTTGGGTTATTGTGGATAAGCGACCGAAACAAATCATAAAATGTGGGCCAGTTTTTGATCTGACCGTCAAACGTCGGAATTTGAATTTTGGGCAATTTGACGTTGTTTGATGTTAAATTGCCCCTAGGTGCGGATGACTGCGCGGCCTCGCGATTTAATTCCGCTGCAACCGATTTAATTGAATACTGCATATCGTCAAATCTTGATTGCACCTCGTATTGTTCGTCTAGCTCCTCAGGGGTGGTGCATAATTCGACAATTTGCAACTGTCGCTGCTCAAACTGGGCAACAATATGGTTTAAGTCCGCAGCTCGAATAAAAAACTCTCCTCGTACAGTTTCGTGGACTCTGGCTTGTTGCGATAGGTTCACTAAAGCCTCCACGCGTTTGATCAAACTAGCGCGTCCATTACTTAGCGCGGCGACGGTAGTCATTATGTAAGCTCGAATTTACGTATTTCGATTATTTGAAAATCAAATGAAAATGCGTGCCAATCACGCTTAGCAAAACTACAACAAATTTGTGCTGGAATCTACAAATCTCTCGTAATTACCCTAAATCCGGCTCGAAGGACCATATGTTGGACGTAAAGGCTTTGAAAACACCTTTTTTCGCGGCGATTTTACAATTCCAAAAAAATAATATTAAAACTTGGATCGAAGCTGACAAACGCATCAAAAGGTCACCTACCTTGTTTTGTTCAGCCTCCTGGGTTGAGGGTTTGTAGACCGCATGCACAAAGGAACCACGTGTCTAAGTTTCGCGACAACAATTCGCGATTTACGTCACACAAGATGGCAACTGCGTTCACTTAACGCCCACCTTAGCGATGTTACCTCTCTGAGGGTTTCTCGATAACTCTGTTCGATTAACAGCGCCAACCCCAAGTACCGGGCCCTTTTGCTCGGTACTATGGCGCCTCTAGTGGAAAGTGACCAAAATACACTTGTCAGCAATCCGCGGGAAAACAAACAAAATCAAAACAAAATATTAACAAACTTCGAACCGGAACAAATTGGTTCAGCACTTTTAAATCTCTTTGAAACTGGTCCGACAGATTAACACGCAAAATAACATTTACTATGAAACAGATATAAGAATAAAAGTTTAGGTAATAATTCAGGGAATAAATAACATTACAAGGATTAATTTATACGTTTTTTGGTTACGAAGGGATTTTTTAAAAGTTTTAAAATAATCAGAAAATTAGTTAAATAAATACCTACCTGCATTAAACTGTATTATAGTATCGTTTAGTAAATATATCTTGTCTATAATGCCTGATTTTGTAAATGAATAAGAGAATAAAACATTTTCCCTTCTTTCCTTTAAACTCGTTTGAGTCTTAAATAACCACCAAAAATCGAAGATCACTATAAAGACGAGTAGATTAGAAAACTGTAACAACAAAGTTCAGAAAGGCAAGCGCAGCAAATTTCATTAACTATTCCCTCCAATTCTTCTAATTTTCGGTAACCCTTTAAGCCGTATAGTTAAAGAGGTTACGTTTATTCACCATGCAAAAATTTTAACACCACTTTCTTGTTAGCACTATATTCGAGAATACGTGTTTTTTACGCTCTAAAATTTTTTAATGCCGATGCATGTGTCCGCAATTCTTTTCAGAGGAAATTGTGAAATGTTAAGCATTTGTAATAATCATAAATCATTTTGTGTAAGGCAAATAAGTATTTTGTTCGTTTTTTCTTCACTTAGAACCTCATCCCTTGCATCATCGCTGTAATTTTTCTCTGACCGCCGCGCTTTTAAATTTAAAGCTTGCGAACCAATTTTGGTAGAGCGTGCGTAGTAGCGTGAATACCGCTTGAAATCTCGGGACACCGATTTCAAAGTGCCGACAGCTGAGTGAACTATCTGGTATCCGTAATCTGTGGTTTGACCTCAAGTATTATGTGCACTCTTACGTGAAGCCAAACTGTATGCACTGGAAATTCAATCGTGTTTTACTGGGTGCCTAACTTAGGGGGAAATGGGATTGAATTCATTTATGTATGCACTTCGTGGTACAGCATTCTAATATAGCACTTTAAGAAAATTTAGTTTCAAATTAAATACATTATTTCCACTTTATTTCTAATAAAACATAAAACAGAATTTGAATTAGGTTATTATCTTTATTTATAATTATTTATTACGGGTACATATAAGCAAACACAATGATTACATTTTTGATCTTTCATGTTGCAGAAAACTTTTTATAGAAGCTGTGGAGCGCCTTCTGAGGATGGGATGTTTTTTAATTAATTCGCTTATTTCAAATCCTGATGGATACAATTTTTCCGCAATGTAGGTGCCAAAAGCTTTACGAACAAGCTGCTTTTCTGGTGTACTCCAGGGACGTCGAATTTTTGCAGTATCACCTAGAATTTTTTCCTCAGATTTGAAATGTTTTAATAAATAAAATCATTATACCTACATTTCAAGTAATTGGTTTTAATATAGTGTTGCACCCACTGCCTTACTTGCTGCGCCGTTCGGGTTTGCAGAGTTTTTGAGTGAGCAATAGCTTCTGAACATTCTGCCAGACTAGGTACTGTTAATTTTTCTATGCAGTTTTTAAACAGAACTTTTGCTGTCGACTTTTTTGGTGTCAACCACACACGGCGTTTTGTAGTCACTAGAAATTAAAGTTTCTGATTTTTAGGATATAAGTATTACTGTATACTTACTTGGACCAAGGGTTTTTTGAATGTGGGAAACATTTCCGGGGTCCCACACATCACTACTTCCACCGCTGTATGGTTCGGATGATGGAGCTAAAATGTTAAGATTCAAAATATAGGCAGCTTATTAGTCTTATTAGCCTAAACTAGCGGAACTATGATTTAACAAATTTTTTTTCTTAAAAAATTACGTGAATAATTATTGCAATCTGTTAGGAATACAGAAACTAAAATTTTAAAAGTTAATTTCTACAAGTGAATCGGATTTATTACGGAATATATGTTGTCAATGTCCTTTTACGGAATAACTAAAATCCTGGTAAAATCAATTGTTTAATATTTTCTGAACCATCATAATGTTTTTAAAAGGTTTAAATACATATATTCGTATGAAACGTTAAATTATAAATAAAGTTTATAATGTTATAAAAATTGTTACATAACGCTTTCTGGTGCCAATATTCGTTAAGTGTCTGCAGAAAAGACTTTTCAATTTAGTATGAAACTAATACTTACAATAATTAAATTTTCTAACAACTTTTATTTTACTTTTTGGAGTCGTAAAAACTGGTTCCTGACTGGTACTTGGCGGAGGAGTTAAATTCCCAACTAAAAATATATAATTTAAAATTTGTCAATCATCGCAATCATTCATGTCATGGGGCGAATGGCTACTTTAATGTGTTCTCAACGTTTCATGACTGTATCGACTTTTATTATAACAGATGATCTCCGAAACATGCTGGAATGCCAACCAATCTAATTATCGCCACCAACAATGTGATGAGGTCACCCTTAAAACTGTGTATAGTAGGTGTTATTCAAATTTTATAAAGTAACAGACTCCTAAATGTATACTTTCTGGATCCGCATTGTTTTTTAACCTTAGAAACCCAAATTTTTAGAAAAAAAAAACACAAATTTGTTTGTAACCAAATTCTCTAAAATCTTGCGAACGTCGAAATATTGAGTCTATACTTGTAATAATATTAATAATAATAATAAAATAATATTTATTATACTTTAAAAATGTACACAGACATTAAGTAAGGTCAAAATAAAAGAACATAAATACACACATATATCGTATACAAAACAATTACACCTTAGTATATTGTACATCAGCAGAATTAATTAAAAACCTGGCTTATAGATCTCATATTTAGGTCGTAAAGTGGAGATTCTAACAATTTTTGTCTCACAGTGTTCCTAAACTGTGGCTCCGGAAGTGCTGCGATATTGCAAGGTAAGCTGTTAAAGTATTTAGGGCCGTAGTAATTAATTGAATTACGGCTTTTATATATTCTGAGATAATTGAGGTATATACCATTACCACTCCGAGTGTTATATAGATGTCTATCACTAATTTTTGTATAGTTGTCTAAACATTTTTTTGTATGTATTAGACACTGGTAGACATATGATGCCGGTACCGTGAGTATATTTAGTTCAGGAGAAAAATGTCTCACATCCGCTTGATAGTTCAAGTTCAGTATTATTCTGACCGCTTTTCTTTGTAACTTAAATATTCTACAAAGATGCGCTGTGTGTCCCCATGCTAGGATGGCATAAGCATAGTGACTTTCGAAAAGGCTATAGTGAACTAATTTAGTAATAGTTATTGGGACTTGTCTGCCGATCTTGCGTAGTAAATATATTGTTTTATTGAGCTTACGGCAAACAGCATCAACGTGAGCGTCCCAGGATAACTTTGAATCCACTATTACTCCAAGGAATTTTATATTTTCAAGATTCTCTGAAGTTATTGTTTTTGTTGAAAAGATCATTGAGGCCGTTTTGTCTTTGTTTAAGAAGAGACCGTTTTTCAGAAACCAATCCGCCACCTTTGTTTGTGCTGAGTTAAGCCTGTCTACTAGTTTATTTGGTTCGTCATCTTTTAATAGCAGAGTTGTATCATCCGCGTATAGGATCATTTTAACATCTACATCTGCCGGTAAATTATTTACGTATATTAGGAAAAGTAAGGGTCCCAAAATGGAGCCTTGAGGCACGCCGTACGCGATCTTGCAAGGAGTAGATGTGGCGGAATTATATACTGTGACTTGATAACGATCTAATAGATAACTTTCTAGTAGTGTGAGAGATTGATCCGTAATTCCAATTTCTATTAATTTGCTGAGCAGTAAATTATGGTCCACATAATCGAATGCCCTAGACAAATCCCAAAACGCGACCCCAATATACATTTTTTCTTCAAATCCTTCAGATATATACGTTATCAATTCCTGAATCGCCAAAGTTGTCGATCTCTTAGCCCTAAACCCAAATTGTGAAGAACATAACAAATCCTTGCTATAGGCAAATTCCGTTAGTTGTTTGTGTAAAAGTTTTTCTAAAATTTTTGATAATGTTAGGATTATTGAAATTGGGCGGTAATTACTGTGGCTGTCCCCACTGTTTTTTTTATGAACTGGGAGTAGTTTGGAATATTTTAAACATTGTGGAAAAATGCATGCTTTATATTCAGATTTATTAGTTTTGTCAACGGCGAAATTATTAAGTTTATTATATATTTAACCATGATAATGTTAAGTTCATCCAAGTCCCTACTATTTTTGTTTTTTATTTTAGTTACTGCATCTCTAAGTTCATTAAAACTTATTTCTTTAAAAGTGAACTTTGTAGGGCAATGTTTATTTGTTTGTGTGTCAGCTAGGTCCGCTAGAATTTCCGGGTCATTCGCCATTTTTACTTTTAAGTCATGAACAACATTAACAAAGTGGCTATTAAAATCCTCCGCAGTGAGTACCTCAGAACAATTATTATTTTTATTACTATTTCTGCTGGTATTACTTATTTTCCACGCGTCCCCAGGTAAGTTGGGCGAGCTTTTGAGTACGTGTTCTATATTTTTCTTTTTGAGGTAGTTTACTTTGTCCAGAGACTTTAAATACATAGACTGGCTGTTAGTAACATTTCTAATGCATTTTGGTGAAGCCACGGCGCATGGTAGTATGGACGCCATTGCTATAACTTTTATGTCAAATTAAGTGAGGTTGTGGTGGTTAGCAGCAGTAGTTTCTAGCACAGAACGTTTCTAGACCTCGAAATAAAAGTGGTTGTGTCGGGACTTACGAGATTGTTTGTAAATATAGCCATTAAAAATGATTTGGTAACTAAAATGTTTGCTTTAACTTTGCAAAGTAGGACCATACATTTTTTTTCTACATAATGAACATTTGTTTAGTATGGATTAGTTGGACGTAAATAATTCTTATTTTAATTTATTGCTTAAATTAATTTTGAGAAATTATTTGACTCTCGGAATAGGTTATGAGTGCCGCTTAAGTACTGAGCGTGAAAAAGCTATCTCTTTAAGACAAAAATTCACGAAATTAATTTTGTTTCAAGGACATTAATATTTTTAAAGGAATTTACATATACATAATAGATATTATTATGCTAAATAAATAATTACAATTTGTTGTCTTTTTTATTTAACATTTTAAATTGCATTTTGTGACCGGAAAATTCAAATTTCGCGCACTTACGGTTATAAGCAATATGGCGGTCGAAGAACTTCACGTTTTTCCTGACACAGCCAGTCTATGTATTAAAGTCTCTGACTTTGTCATTAAGAAGTTTCTTGTACTCTTTGCATGCAATTTTAAAATATTCATTCCCCGGGAAATGTGATTTTAAACTATGAAATAATTCTACATACTCCTTTAACTGTAATACTTCTGTGTTTTTTTTTAGGAATGCGGTACTAGCAGACTTCTCCTTTTTGAAAGTCTTTAGTGGGAATGATTTTTTTGCTGCATTTGATAGTGAAGTTACAAATTGTAGCCATTTTTGTTCTAGACTGAGGCTGACATCCTCAACAAAGAACCAGTTAATTTCAGATACATAGTTATAGAACATATATAATCCGTGTTTTGTAAAAGGTCTGCACGATATTTTACTCCCACAATTTGTTTCGGACTTTGGGACGCTCACGTCGATACTGATGGCATCATGATCTGATAGTCTAGTCTCAATAATTTTAGTTCTGTATGGTGTATTTATATTAGTTATAATGTTGTCAATGCAGTTTAGCTTTCTCGTGTTTTCCTTAACTAGAACTCTCATTTGGTAACTGTGAATAAGATCTAGGAAAGTCATTACCTTATGATCTGGTGAATTAAACGTAATATTAAAATCGCCTATTATTATTGCGTCCTTATCGCCCAACTTTAAAAGAAGGTTGTTAAATAAGTATAAAAATTCTTCAAAATTACATTTTGTCGGTCGGTAAATGGTAATGATATAAACCCCCTTGCCGACTAAGTATATTCCGGCTGCTTCCAAAACTCTTTCTTTACAAACCGATGTTAAATTTACAACCGAGTATCTTATGCTAGTATTTACCAATATCGCGCATCCTCCATATCCGTTGCTACGGCAAAAACTACCAGCGACCTTATATTTGAGTATTGTTAGAATCTCCATTTGCTCCATCTTCAGCCAGTGTTCGCTAAAACAGATAATGTCAAAAGGGTTGTCTAGAAAAAATAATTCTATTGCGTTAATTTAACATCTCAATGACTGAATGTTAATGTAGAAAATATTCAACCAATTGTCAGTTGTTAAACGTTCCTGGGACAATTTGCTACGTTTCCTCTCACTTGTTATCGAGGTCATTTGTGGTGCTGCGGTGGCTTCCTTGGGTGAAAATATCTTGATATTAAAACTCCGCTTGGCCAATATTCCGGTTTGTTAATTTTTTCGAGGTTTTCAAAATTAATGGTTACTTTGAATCTGGCGTGGTTTTCTTCGTGTTTGTTTTCAAGTAGTTCACAGATCATTTCCGGGAAGTCGTTCACGTATCTTGGGTCTGATGATGTTTAGCGTCCTTTTTTGTGTTGTTTAAGGTCGATTTTGGCAATTTCGAGTTTGTTTTGATTGTAGTGTCGCTTCTCGTTTTTATGTGTTCAATCGTGTCGACCATAGCTGCTGTCTCTCTTGATGGTTCGCCTTCAGCGCTGTTGGCGATATCGTTATCAGGTTTCTTACCGACCTTCTTGTCGGTGTTTTCAGGGTTTTTATAGTGTAGTAGGTCAATGTGACTCTTCATTAATTTGATAACACCTCTTAATTCGAGGATTAACTCATCTTTCTGTTTCAAAATGTAATGGAAAAGTTTATAATCTACTACTTTGTCATCTGCGTCCAGGAAAATGTCACTTTTGAATTCCATATCCTCGGAATCTTCGGAGGTTTCACGGCAAACAGCGGTGTTACATATCCAGTTCTTCTTCTTATGGAAACCTCGTAGATTCACATTAACGCAGCGGGGGTGGAAGCTTTTGGTACACACAGAGCACGTAATTAAGGCCTTAGTGTCGTCTTCGGCCGAATCGCAGACAGCACATATAACACGTGCGTTCTTGTCAGATATCACTACTACACTTGTAAGTAGTTTACCAAGGCATTCATAATTTTTACAAGAGCCTGTGAAAGTATAGATTCATAATATTTTGCATGTTTGAGATAGGATTTATTTGTCAAAATTATGAAAGTACGTCATCAATTCTTTGAAAGGGGATAAGCAGATACATTTTGATTAACAACTTATCTTGGCTATGATAATTTTACAATCTTTGCAAGATTTCAGAAGCATTAGGAATTGCAGCTTTAAAGTTATATTGTTACACAATAGTGATTTTTTCCCAAAAATGTGAATGTCTTCAAATTGTTGGTGGGAATAAAAGAATAAAGTTTGGTTGCTAAAATATCATCTACACAACAATCTTTCTGGTAGTTTTGGAGATCACTTACCTAATAAAGTCGCTGATAGACAGCCAGAAACGAGCCAGAAACTTTTTCGTCTTGAACAAAAATAAAACATCGAGAAAATAAAATCAGCCATCAGAATGAACCCCAGCGTATGCTCAGGAATTAAAAAGTTCTCTCCTAAGTTCTTTATTAAAAAACTTAGCAATATTTTGTGAATTTAGTATTAAGTGATTACCTTCAGTGCAAGTCCTAACAGAACAATTTGTGACAAGAGGTCGTTCTATATCTAAAAAAAAAAAACATAAGTGTTATAACAAAATGCCTATTTCTTTTCCAAAAATACCTGGATCAATAGTTTTGTCTTCATTTCTTTCACAAATTTCGTCCATGGTCATTTAGCTTTCTTGATCTAAGATTTTCTTTATCATTAAATCACCTACAACTATCTGCTGCCTGTAATACTCGTCGTGTATATTTCGTTGATGACCCATAAAATTAACGACGGTTTCTTTTTGATGATCCTGAAGGTTCATTGTTGAGGTCTTTGTTGCAAACTGTTTTCGTAGAAGGGTTGTTCTTATAGAACATGGATTTTGTAATTTTGCCATAGCTGTATACTTTCTAATTATTCGACACGTTTCTAAAGTTCTGTATCGCTGTCCTACCATTTTCCCCGGCAAGCCAAAGATATAAGGGTTATCGTCCGATACTCCAGCCTGACTTCTATAGTCATTAATAAATGTTAAATATTTCTTTATATAATGGGGAATTATAACTGCCACCGTTCTGTGAAGTTTTCCTCTGATCATTAATTTGTATGTGCAATCAACTTCTTTATTCTATTGTCACCTAAATTGTTGAGCAGTTCTGGGAGTACTGTATCACGCAAAGTCTGTATATTTCGAAAATCCTCCACAAGTATTCTTTGGGCTTCACCAGCTCGTTTTCTATTATAAACACTGATATACATCAGTGTGAGTTCCGCTAAAGTCTTCCAGTGTGTAAAAGAAAATTCTTCAGTCATGAGTCTTGTAAGTTTTTGCTGCATTTTTTAAAATGTAAATTTTAAAATTTTCAACATTTTTTGTCGTTGGAATGATACTTCTTTTCGTCATCATTTTTTTTCTTTTCATTTCACACAGATCTCTATGGGCTGGTTTATTTATTTTACCAGGAACTTCTGTTTTCAGGAGTTTAAAAAATCTTTTAACAGCTTGTTCGTTTCCATCGTCTCCTCCTCGAATATAATGACTTTGCAAAATATTACAACAAATTTTTAGATAATGTGTTATGGTCAATGCGGATGTTGATTTACTGTACACTGATGAATTATTATCAATTTCTCCCATCTGTTTTACTGCTTCAAGTGCCAAATCAAAATGTTGAGGGTAGAACAACTTATGAAATTCGTCAATGCTATTATCAATTTTTTTCACAGTTAAAAAATATGTCGCTAGAAACCTCAATTTGTTCCGTATCATATACTCCTGGTGTTCTCTATATTTGGGGACTAAATAATTGCCAATCAAAATTAACAGCATATCTTTTTTGACAGTATCCAATATTATATTCTGTTTCATTGGCGGCAAAATTTTCTCTTTTAGTTGCAAACATGCCGCCGGATGAATTTTACTAACCATGGCACGAGCAGCTCTTAAAACAGATCTACTAGCATTTTTATCTTTCAGATCTTTGCAGCAGTAGGCATAATGACGAGATAGTGTTATCTGTGAATAAAATCCTTTGCAATTAGGGCATGGTAAAGAGTCTCGTGAACCTTTTTGCACTCGTCTGATAAGAATGGGATTCTCTTTATTGCTCTTGTTGTAATTATAATTGCCACTTTTTCGTAGATTTGCTATAATTTCGCAACGTTCAGGACTACCTGCAATTTAAACTTACTTAATTACACATTCCAACTAACTTGATAACTACCCTTTATTGAAACTTAAGAATTTTCTTACTTCTGCCTCTTCTGAGTGACAAATTTCAAAATGACGTGCTAAATTAGTTTTGAGAGTTTTGCAAAAAATGCAAAACTTCTGCTTGCACGAATAGCGTGAGTTTGTTCCATAATTTTTTGTTGCTAGACGTTCGGATACTGAAATAAAACAATAATGACAAACATATTTTACATTGTATTATTTAGTGCATTAATTGCCTCCATTGATCGACTTGTTACTTTGAACTTTTCTCGACGTTTCATGACACCTGAGTACGAGTGGTCCACGTTTCCGTCTGCCTGTCTGTCTTCTATGAAGAGTTTTATGAGATAGATAATGTCCGAAACTACTAGATCGATTGTTGTCAAATTTTGTATGTTTGTTAAAAATATCACGTTTAACATAATATTCTTAGCACATAGTTAATTTATGATGTAGAGGGTACAGCGCTAACCAAAATTTGTCTAATCATCTCCACCAACAATAGGATTACGTCATTTTTAAAATTTATAAAATAACATACTCCTCCACTTGTGGTTTATGGATTACTGTTGAGTTTTTACCTTAGACATCACGTTTTTTGAAAAAAAAAACAAAATCTTATAACATTTTGTAATTGAACTTTGAAACTGCAAAACCGTACGATCTAAAATGTTACAAACGTATTACGTTTATCGGAAGCAATATAAATCGGTAATCAATATTAAACTTATCCATTTACCCCCTCCCAAAAAATTGATGACATTTCAAAATTTTGTCAAATAAATCTTATCTAAAATGCGCAATATCCTATGCCTCTATTTTTGTGATTTAGCAATGCATTAATAGTTTTTAGAATTACTTATAAACGCTGGCTTAAAAAAAATTATAAATGAGGGAATTTATTTTATTGATCACAGTAAGAACGACTCACTTTATGTTCTCGAAAATTTGAGTATACAGCACCGTTATTATTAATATTAGATTGCACCTATTCAAATTGATATACGTATGTTTCCTAAAACGTTGATGACGTTATCACAAACATTTTGTGATGGACAAACTCACTTAAAACACACGCACAATATGCTCCTTTACCTGTACTGTAACAGTTCACACATATTTTAGATTTAATTTATAGCGGTTATCATAAAGAAATAAAATTTGCAAATTAAATTTTGAAGAAGCCGTATTTGTTCGACAGTACTTCACGGGCGAGTGAAGTTGTGGCAAAATAATCTTCGACCGTTGGTAAAGGGCTTTATTTTATTTGGAATCACAGAGAATGAAATAGTAAAGAATAATTTTTACAACGCGAAGATTATCTCCATTCCAAATGACTGCGCACACAATTAAACATATTATACACTAAGATCGTTGAAGTGTTAGAATTAGGGGTACAAATATTTTTAATAAGCAAAATTGAGCACAAAACATTAGTATGTACTACTTTTCAAAAGAAAATTTGTTAGTGTTTTTTTTATACTAATTTTTATAAATAATTCTGTGTTGCCACTTTCATTAACTAATGAAATGTTTTCAGTCAAACATCGCTTTTGTTTAAAAGTGATGATAACCTGTTTAAAAAAACTACCCTTGTGTAATGTATAGAAAATTGTAGACATATTATATTAAAATTTCATAAAAATAAGCCTGTTAACAATGGAGGTATTCCATTGTGTAAATGTTATTTCAAGCCATTTATAGAGCAAGAATTCAGTATAAAGAATTTAAAAACAAGATGATTACATTCACTTTGAGCCTGTGTGCTAGATAGATATTCCACATTATTTGTTCTATTGCTTGAAATATCAGCATGCCCTACTTAAATTAAAAGAGTAATTTTTACATAAAGACACATTATTTCTAAAAATTGCATATTTTTAAAATTACACACCCACATTATACATTAAATACCTAATACGATTACGCTATGTCTACGTGGCAAGCATGTGGATTCAAAAATAAAGTCAAAAATGCGAAAAATAATTTCAACGTGTACCTATAATATGGCTCGACGAGTCTAATAAAAATCGACGAAGACGACAGACAGACGGAAACGTGGGACCTTTTTTATGCCTCAGAGGTCATGAAACGTCGAGAAAACATAAAAGCAGTCATTTGTCAAATGGACCCTATTTCATTACTTCACTAGTTCAGGCTGGAGAAATAAAATTATTTCGTTCTTACCAATTAGTAGTTTTTTTTCTTTATTTAGTTGTTGTTTCAAGTCTTCTAAGGCTTCAAAGTTTCCTGAAAGATAAAAAAAAAACAAAAATTATATTTACTTTGTCCTTATAAAGATATATGTACTTGGTGCATTTCATTTGTAACCAAATAATATTTTATGATTTTTAACAACCCCGTAAATGTGGTCGGCTTCTGTGGATACTTGTCACATCTGTTCTGGGTAATTTTAAAAATTGGCCCAGAGAGAGGGTTCAGATTTAAGAGTGTTTCAATCTCTGGATATTTAAAAAATAAAGATTTGTTCAAAATTATATTCAATAGTCGTTATCAAGCATGCTGTTATTATTGTTGTGCGGATATCAGCAGCAGCTAGGCATTCCGTACTCTCAAAGGGTTAGATGGATCATATATCTAAAATTTCACATTAAATTTAAAATTGTACGAAACGGTTTCATTCATTAATTTTTTTCGGTCATCCTATATACGCAAATCGAAAAAATTTGAATGGAATGATAAATCACAACAAGAAACTCACCATATTTTGTACATTTTAGATAATATTTATTCAGCAAAATTTTGTGGTGACGTCATAAATTTTTTAGGAGGGGACGACCAAATACATTTTGATCAAAAATTTACCATGCTTATGATAATTTTAAAACATCTTCAAGATTTCAAAGCATTCGGTTTTGTAGTTCCTGAGTAAATCAGTAAAATAAATTTTGCGCATTCATTAATTTTTTTGAGTCACCCTGTATATGCAAATCCAAAAAATATGAATGGAGTGATATATCACAAGTACAGACGCATCATATTTTGTACATTTTAGATAGGATTTATTCGGCAAACTTTTGAGCTGACGTCATCAAGTTTTTGGAGGGGATAACCAAATATATTTTGACTAAAGATTTATGATTCTCTTTAGAGCCTTAAAACATCTGCAACATTTTAAAACATTCTGGTTAGCAGATTCAAAATTAAATTGCAAAATGTTGTTTTATGATTTTGATTTTTTTTCCAAAAATCTGGACGTTTCGGGTAAAGACTGAATTCGGAGTCGTAAACTACATGTGTAGGACTATGTTATTTTATACAATTTAAGACCCATTCTTTTATCCTTTCCTCAAATTTTCTCCCTGTTTGTCCGATGTATACTAAGGGGCAGTCACTACAACCTAACATGTAAACTCCAGAATTCGATTTCTTAGGTGACTTGTCTTTACTATTGTTTATCAATTTATGTAAAGAATTGTTGGTACGGAAGGAAATTTTATAGCCTGCATTTTGCAGTATTTTTGCAGTTTTAATAGAAAGTTTTCCAAAATGAGTTATAATGTTATACTGATTGGTTTCTTTAATTAAAGGATATATTAATGTTGATGTGACTTTTTTAATTTTCTTTTTTAACATATTATCTATGATCTCGTCGGACGAGAAGAGAGCAAAATGCAGGCTATAAAATTTCCTTCCGTACCAACAATTCTTTACATAAATTGATAAACAATAGTAAAGACAAGTCACCTAAGAAATCGAATTCTGGAGTTTACATGTTAAGTTGTAGTGACTGCCCCTTAGTACACATCGGACAAACAGGGAGAAAATTTGAGGGAAGGATAAAAGAACATAAATCAGCATTTGTCAATAAAAAATCAAATTCTACGTACGCGAACCACCTTATCCAAGAACAGCATAATTTCAACGACGAATTCAAAATTTTGCACATAGAAAATAATGGCGCAAAATTAAACGCGTTAGAATGTCTGGAAATAAATAGGTACAATAGATTTAATACACTATTGAACGACCAAACCGAAATAAACAAATCTCCCTTACTTAACAATCGCAAGCCATATTTCTCGATGGTCAGAAATACCTAGATCTATCGGACTAACACGGGGATAATATTCTTGTACATTTATGAAAACATTGTCCAGACAATTTGCCCCTCTAGTGTTAAAATTGACAGTGGGTTTAAGACCGTAACTTAGTAGTACGTCCAGCAAGGTAGTTCTTTTTGCATGGATGAAAGTATGACCCACAGTTTGCACATAGGACCATTTTTTTTACAGCAGGATTACTGCAGTAACAGCACAGAGGTTTCTCGCGCGTTTCGCCCCTTTTTAACATTGAAGACACAAGCGACACAATTTCCATCGACGATTCCGTCAAGGAGCCCGCCAAGGAGCTGTCCCCCTTGGAGCGCGCCCAGCAGTACAAAACCGAAGGAAATGACATGTTCAAACGCGGCAAGTTCGACGAAGCCATCAACTGCTACAACAGCTATGAAGATATTGAAAAATATCTCCAAGGAAGATTCTCCAATCACAATTTTATTGTTGAACCACTTCCAAGAAGAGAGAATGCTACGAGCGCTGCTTTTAAAGTTGGAGCAGATTTCCTCCTCCTTGACCAGCTCTACAAGGGAAAAAATTGGCTCCGAAACGTGATAGTAAAAAAAATTTGAATTTTTTCGTCACAAACGCCCCGCAACATTCGCAAACTAACATAACTATACTTGTTCTTAATATAGTGTCAATTCGTTCGAAATTATCAGAATTTGAAGTTCTTTTGGCGGAAGAAAACTGCTCACTAGTTGGAGTATCAGAACATTTGTTGTATGACCAAGAACCGGAAACTCTGACTATACAGAACTTCTCTACAAAATCGTACTATTCCAGAAAACCCTCGAAGCACGGAGGGTTTCTAATACTTTCCAGAAATGACGTAAACTGTAAGAGTATTGAACAACTAACTCAACTCTCCGTAGAGAATCACTGTGAAGTGTTAGTATCATTGGAGTAGTGTTTATAAACTTGTACAGGCCACCATCTGGTGATTTTGACTTATTTTTGAATGTTTTGTCCAAATTATTCGGCATAAGTAACTCACTTGAATTAAATGTTGTATTAGCAGGTGACTACAACGTCAGGTTCGACTACGACAATCAGCAAAA